TTTTCTATATTTTTAGTGAAAAATGACCTTTTTGATTCCGGCTTTGGGGGGGAGGTTAGTGCGAAATGTATTTCTCCTGGGTTAACAAAAAAAAAAGGAGGGGAGGAGAGAGGGAATAAAAAACACTTAATTCTGATTTTTAGGATTTATTTCGAACGATTTTATTAAAGAAGATCATCTTAAAATTAAAAATACAATTTAAATATACAATTAATTATAATAATAATAATAATAGTATTAATAGTAATAAATATTTAAAATTCAACCTCTATAAAATTGTACAAATAATAATAATAATAATAATAATAATAATAATAATAATATATATTTATATATATATATATATATATATATCAGTATAATTTTTTATTTTTAAAAGAAAAAACAGAAAAAAAATAAAAAGAAAAAATTAATAAAGACACGATAAGGTTATACATTAATAATTAGAATGTTTTTTTTTCTTTTTCCATTGTTTGTTTGTTTGTTTGTTTTTAAATGAATTATTAATAAAAACTAATTTATACTAAAATATCATTACTTATTTATAATTTATCATCTAATCAAATAGAATCAATTAAAAAAAAAAAATTATTTGAATAAATAGATTAATCTTATTAAAAATTTTTTTTTTCATTTAAATTTTAAATATAATAATAATAATAATAATAATAATAATAATAATAATAATAATAATAATGATATAAAGATAATATATATTTATATATATATATATATATCGAAGGCCAAATATAATATATAATACAATAGAAATACTAAAGAATTTCGTTTTTATAGATGATAAGAAAAAAAAAAATTTTTATCAATAAATAATATATATATATAATAACTTCAGTCTCCATGAAAAGATTTTTTTCTTGTTTGTTTATGTTTTACGAATAATAAATCAGAGAAAGAGAGAAAGAGAGAGAGAGAGAGAAATGAGTTTATTATTAAAATGGTCTTATTATTATTATTATTATTATTTAAAAAAAAAAAAAATTCACATTTAATAATTAGTAAATAAATAATGAAAAAAATAAATTATCACATTTATAATTTTGGTCCTTAACAAACAAAAAAAATTTCACTCATTTATTAATACATTAATTATTATTATTATTATTATTATTAATATCATCACCGAAAATAACGTTCTAAATATTTATAATAATAATAATAATAAATAAAATAACGTAAATGATACCAAAAAAAAATAAAAATAAAAAAATAAAATCAAAACAACAACAATTAAATAATATTATTAAAAAAAAATACATAAATTTATTAATAATAATAATAATAATAATAATTAATTATTCATTTTATTACTTATTTATTTATTTAAATCAATTTTATCTCTACATATTTCTTTATTTATTTTTTTAATAATAATAATTTTTTTTTTATCACAAAGGCAGATCACATGTATACAATTTATATATATTTATTTATTAATTTTACTTATCGATTTTATTAATAATAATAATAATAATAATAATGATAAATTTTTAAATGTAGAGTACAAAACGAAAGAAAACATAAAGCAATCGAGTATTTATTAATGTCATATATATATATAATTAAACTTCATTTCTCTCACGTTTACATAAATATCAATTAATAAATAAATAAAATATCTATAATCGCTTGTAATATTTACACTAATTAATAATAATAATAATAATAATAATAATAGCGAATTTATACGAAGAAAAGGAAGTATGTTTTTCTCTTTTTTTTAAGTTTAATTTTTTAATAATATCAATATCAATAAATTATTAATACTCTAAATAAATATTCTAATCAAAAAAATTAAAAATTAATTAATTAATGTTTCATTTATGTATTTATGTATATATGTATTCGAGTGATTAAAAACTATACGGTAGAATAATACAGTAAATAACAAAATATATTCTATTTATAATAATAATAATGATAATATTATCATTAATTTAAAAATTCTAATAATTGGCCAAAAAAATTTTTTTTAAAATGTTATGTACAATTCATAAAAAATTTTTAACAACGAAAAAATAAATTATTAAAAAATAAATAAATAAATAAAATATTTTTTTGTTTGTTTTTGTTCAAATTTGTTTATATTAAAAAACTCAAACAAACACAAACAAACAAACAAACGACTAAAAAACAAAAAATGAAACAACGCCTCGTGTTTCCCCTCCCTCAACTTTTTGCTCTTTTCCCCCATTTTTCCCTTCCCTCTCTCTCTTACCCCCTTTCTAAAACATCATATAAATATACGAACACGTCCAAGTACATACTCGTAAAAGATAAAATAATGATAATAATATTTATAAATACCTAATAATAATAATAATGACGTAATATCGAAATCTAAAAACCTTTTGTTTTTAATTTTGAAATACCAAAAAAAAAAAAATAATAAAAAAGACTCAACAATTCGACAAGAAAATTCTTTTTATCATTTATTAAATAATGTTACTGATAATACTAATAATAATAATAATAATAAACGGCGATTAATAAATTATTAAGCAGCGGAAATTATATAAACGAATAATACACTAGAAAAAAAAATGGCATTTTTTCCCATTTATTTGAAATTTAAATCATAGGAAGCATTCTTATGTAAATATTTATTTTTTATGTATATATATATATATATATATATATGTATAATATCTTTACAATTTATTTATTTATTTACTATTATTATTATTATTTTTTTTTTTCATTCATCAATTTTATTAAAATTTTTTTTTCTTTTTAAATAACAATAATTAATTTATATATATGTATATAAGTAAACTACCGAATTAACAATAATATTACAAGATCAATAATAAATAATTATTAAATTGTAAAATTAAAATAATAATAATAATTATAATAATAATAATGATAATACTATTCGAGTTATTTAATTAATTTATGGTTTTTTTTTATTTTTAATGGAATGTTAAAATATTTATTAAATTTATTAATTTTCATAGAGAATGAAAACACAGGCAGTGATTGTCTTGATAAAACTGTTATTAAACAATCATCATCATTATTTATTGTTAATTATTATTATTATTATTATTACCGAAAAATTTCCTCTCTCTTTCTCTCTATTAGAGACCTCTTAATACCACGAATTTATTTTTTGCTTCGCACCGAATATCGATGAAATGACTTTTAAACGTCAAATAATAAAAAATAGTCGAGAATAATTATTTTCTAAAAATTATTGTTATTATTATTACTATTGTAGCAACGATTTAAAAGAGAAAAAAATAAAAAATTTAAATGGACAGTGTCGAATTTAAGTACATATAATTATTATTAAATTGCCATGCATCATCATCATCATCATCATCATCATCCTTACCACTCCCACCACTCACACCACTCCCACAATCAAAAATTTATTTTTTAAACTTTATAAAAATTAATATCATTATCAATAATAATAATAATTAATTGATTGCGTCGCATTTAGGCATAATTTCAGGTATTTCACGGTACCTCCTTCTCTTCCTACTTTTGACTTTCAAAATTTAAATTAAAAAAAAAAAAAATTAAGCTGCCACCCTTATCATCACATGTTAAAAAAAATTTCGTTATCAACGATTGAACATACCTGAAACCTATACCTGTAAATACGAGATTAATTATTTATTTATATTTACAACTGCACGCACACGCACACACAAGCATTCGCACATTCACGTAATTGTTTGTTTCATCGCGTTTATATATACATAAAAGCACAAATGATAAATTCATTGCAAAATCGTAATAATAATAATAATAATAATAATAATAATAACGAAGACGATATTTTCATTTTAACAAAGTTTTAAAAAAATATATAAAACAATAAAATAATAATAATGATAATAATAATAATAATTAATAAAGCAAAAAAAAATAAAAATAAAAAAGCTTTCTTACGTTATATGAGGTAGAATGTATTTCTCCAAATTTTTTTCATTTTTTATTTTTAAAATTTATTATTATTACTATTATCAGTTTTTTTAAAAAAGAAATAAAAGAAAAAATAAAAACTATCAGGCTAGCAGAAAGAAAGATAGAAAAAAAATGATTTCAATCATGCTAACGACTACGTGTGATGCTAAAAAAAAAAAGAAAAATTTTTTTTTTCTTTTAATCTCGACAATTCGTATCGATTTATTATTATTATTATTATTATTATTATTATTAGTAATAGTAGCGGTAACAAATATCGATTTATTCAAAGTAAATAACTAATAAAATAAAAGATGAAAGACAAGAAAAAAAATATAACAACAATAATAATAATAATATCTTTTTTTTAAATATCAATTACTAAAGTTAAAAAAACCCGAAAAGCCAAAAATTTTCCGGGTTCGGCGTATTATTATTATTATTATTATTATTATTATTAATTTTTTTTTTACTAATTCAAATATTATATAAATTTTGATCGACGCTCATTTTTTTTTTTTTTTTTTTTTTTTTTTTTTTAACCGTCAGACAAAATCTCCATTTTTAATTTTTCCATTCGAAATTTTTTTAACGGCGTAAAAATTCGAACGCGAACGAAGAATACATTTATTTATTACTATTTGGCACTTTCTACGTTTCCCTCCCTACTTCCCTCCCGTCACCCCCACCCGTTACCCCTTCCCCATTTTTCTTTCGTAATAATTAAAAATTGCATTTACAAAAAAACGATCATCAGAATGAAATGAAATGGAAAAACAAAATGGCGACCGGAAATGACGAATACATTTGCGAAAAAAAAAATACTGTTTTAAAATGACGTCATGATACTGTTACTAAGAATAATACCCACGTATAATAATAATAATATACTTATTTTTCATAAATGGGATTCGAGCCGCGTTCCAGAATATTCGCCGACAACGAGAGTTAAAATGCTTTTCTCTCTCTCTCTCTCATCCTTTTCCTTCTGGAACTGTTTGTTCTTTTTCTTTGAAGCCAAAAAAAAAAAAAATATCGATAATAATGATAATCCTCCATTTTTAAACGTGTTGAACGAATTCGGGATTGAGAAAAGAAAATCCCAAAAATTCCGTTTGGTCCAAATTCATCATGAATAATTTGTCCGTCGGTGTCAAATCCGTTTTTTCCGATGTGAATTGCTTATCGAAATTGCTGACATCTTTTCGATGTTTCTAAAATGAATTAGAAAAAAAAAGAAAATAAAGAAAAAAAAAAATTAATTTTCCGCCATTTAAAAAACAAAAAAAAAATGTCAACAACTACGAAAAAAAAAAAATTTAATAAAGCGTAATAAAACAAAAAAAAAAAATAAAAAAATAAAATAGCAGACGACGCTATATTATTATCTATTACGTCGAACGTTAAATTTTTTTATTTTATTTTTATTTTCATCTTATATTTCGTAAACCTAAATTATTATTATTATTATTATTATTATTATTATTATATATTATTATTATTATTATTATTATTATTACTATTTTAGGTTTGAAAGGTGGTTGAACTTCTCTATTTTCAATTCTTTCCCAATCTATTCTTCTGAAAAAAGCATGACCTCTGACATCTTCTTCTCCGCTATCACCGCATCCCAATCTCTTACCAGGATTCTTTGTCAAAAACTGGAATCGAAAACAAATTATTATTATTATTCGTTTTTAAAAGATGTCCATTTTTTCTTTCTGCTGATAACTCACTCCTTTGCAAGCTTCCTTTGCTTCTTTCGATAAACTTTTTGGATATGATACGTTGTGTTCCGTTATCGCGGCAAATAATTCTTCTTCGTCTTCTCCGTCGAAGGGCGGTTGACCCACGAGCATTTCGTAGAGGAGGACACCGTATGCCCACCAATCGACGGATTTACCGTAGGGTTGATACAGTATGATCTAAGGGAGAAAAATAAAAACGTGAATGACGACCGAGAGAAATTCTTACGTCAAAAAAAAAAAGTTTTTTAAACTCGTCTTACTTCGGGCGCTATGTAATCCGGAGTCCCGCAAAATGTTTTCGTCGTTTTATCTCCCGTTATCCCCTCTTTACACATACCGAAATCCGCAATTTTGATATGTCCGTCCTGATCCAGCAGAACGTTATCCAATTTAAGATCCCTGTAAACGATTCCGCGACAGTGAAGGTAAAACAAACCGATGGCGATTTCGGCGGAATAAAAAACCGCGACGGGTTCTTTGAATTTTCCACACTGTTGTATTTGAAACATGAGATCTCCTCCGTTCACGTATTCCATTACGAAATACAATCGATCCTACAACAAAAAAAAAAAGTAAAATTAATTTTAACAATAACAATAATAATAATAATAACGAACGAGGATAATATTAATTTACCATTGTTTGAAAACACGAATGCAATTGAACGAGAAACGGTGGCTTTTGTGAAAGTGCTAAAACTCTTTTCTCAACCATCGTGCATTCAACATCGTCATCTTGTATTATTATGTCTTTTTTGAGTATTTTAATGGCGTAAAGTTCGTCCGTACCTTTTCTTTCCGCCAGCATGACCTACATAATCATCAAAGAATTAAAATAATCAAATTTTAAAAATTTTTGTCAAAAAGAAAATCCGTCGTTTCCCTCTTCGTTTTTCCTCCTCCTCCTCCTCTTGCTGACCTAACGATGTTAATTAACAATAATAATAATAATAATAAAGCCAGAAAAGGGGAATTTAACAAAGTGTGTATATATATTTTAACAAAGTAAATAATAAGAAAATTATAAAATGTAATATTAGTAACGTTATTACAAAACAATAAAATATAACCCTCGGATCATTTTCAAAAAATTTAATTTCAATTTTAATTACACGCACACGCACGCACGCACGCATCCACCCGCACCCACGCGCGCGCACGCACGCACGTAAAATAAACAAAAAAAAATTTAATTTTACCTTTCCGAAACTGCCTTTTCCCAAAACCATTAAAAAATTAAAATCGGAAGCTCTGATAACATCCTTTTTACCCATATTATGGGGAACATCTTTGTCCGATACGACTGGAGCCCTTTTTGACAGCGAAGACTGCAATGCAATAATAATAATAACAATAATAATAATAACAATAATAATAATATTAATGGTAATAATAATAATAATAACGATCGAAACCGTTAATTATTATTATTTTTTTTTACATTCGAAATTTCAAACCAAAACGTGTCTTCGACCAAGAACACAAAACTTCAATCATTCAACTAATTAACAAACTATTATTATTATGATCATCATAATCATCATTATTATTAAATCTATATCTACGAAAACGAATTTAAAATTTATTTAGTTTTTTTTTTTTTAAATATACTTACGTCACGCAAATAGTCGCAAATAAGAATAAAAATTTCGTTAGAAAGAAAATTAATGACAAATTCATACTTTTGTGATTAAGTGATAATGATAACGAACCTAAAAGTGCTTTAAACATCACTCGAATTGCGTACACGCACTTATCCTAATAATAATAATAATTTTCAAACGTTGACATTTTTTTTTTTTTGGGTATTTACTCACACGAATCGATTTTAACTCTCGCGAATCGAAATTTTAATAAATTTTAAGAATAAAAAAAAAAAATCGATAAATCGATAAGAAAAAATTTATTACGATCGATGTAATAAAATAAAATAAAATAAAATAAAACAATCGTTTTAATTGTTTTCGATATCATGTTGAACGCAAATGGAAAAATTTATCAAAAGAAATTTTCCTTTTTTCCCATTTTCCTTTTGACTTATTTCATTCATTTTTATCTATTTCAAACACGAAACGAAAAAGAAAAAAAAAACCTGTCGTATTTTATATTTTAAAAGTCGATTTTATAGTTTAATTAATTAATCATAAAAAAAATAACGGAAACTTTATACAGAGATTTCAACTTTTTTTCTTTTCTTTTCCACGCGCGCGTGCGCAGAAGACAAAAAAAAAGAAAAATCTTTGATGTATAATAATTTATTCCTGACATTGACAACCGCGTACAAAAAAAAAAGACGGAAAAATTGAAATTTTTTTCCTTTTCGGTTAAATCCGCAAAAAAAACGATTTCATATGATTTGCCAAAAAAAATTGAAATGGCAATCAAGTACGACCATGGGGAGGAAAACGAACCGGGGAAAATTTTCATTTCGATCTGTAAACGATCCGCGAGGCATTAAAAAAAAAAAAACCGAGGATTTCACGTGCCGTCGATTTCGAAAAAATATCAATAATAATAATAATAATAATAATAATAATAATAATAATAATAATACTAATAAGCGTGTAATAACTAATTGGTAACGAATGAATAAAAAAAAAAAAAAAAAAACAAATGAAATCAAATATGATCATAAAAACGTCAAACTAAACTAATCATGCAACGTAAAATTTTTGAAAAAAAAAAAAAAAAAATCGATTTTTTTTGTGCCGCGATTTCGAAATAATAATAATAATAACTAACAATTATTCTAACATCAATTAGTGTCATATAATAACAATAATAATTTGAAAACATAAAATCACTGTCGTAAACGAATGCAACGGAATTTAATCAAATATCGAAATATTTACAAAAGGTTAAAATCACAGAGCGAATAATTTCCGTTGTTCTAATCCCACGTCAAAAAAAACAAACCCCCTTCTTTTTTCCCCCCGTTTATTTTGCCCACCACTTTGAATTACTCGTATTTTACGAGTTTTAATTCGAACCTATCGGGTTATTGCCCCCCCCCACTTCTCCTCCCCCAAACGCGCCTTTTCGACATTACGTAAAAATTTAAAAAAAAAAATTTATAAATAAATAAAATCTAAAAATTTCGATTCGACGAACCCATAACAAATTTCTATTATCATCATTATTATTATTAACACTCCGATCATCCAATCATCTTCTTCCTTTTCCGTTAATAATAATAATTTTGTGTCAAGAGGTTGAAAAAAAATTGAAATACGATTTTTCAAGTTTTTTTTTATTTTTCGAACGTACAAATATAAATGGGAAATAAATAAATCAGATTGAAATAAAATAAATGATTATCGATTTTTTTCGATAAAAAAATATAACAAAAAAAAATAAGAAGAAGGAGAAGAAGAAAAAAGATTATTTTATATTTTTTTCCCCGAGAAAAAACACAAAAATAAATAAATAAATAAATAAAAGAAAAAAGAGAAAAAAAATATATTGTTATGATCCCGTACTCAATATTCACATTTTCAACTTTTTATAAACAAAAGACTGGCGACGAACTCAAATTGTTCTTCTTTAGAAGCGAAGCTTCTAAAGACTCCTTCTTTTATTTTATTTGCAAGTGTTTGCTCGAACATTCGAAACAGTTGACTGACGAAAGACCAAAGTAATATAGGCAAGCTACACAGCTTGGCGTTGGTTCATTTGATTTTTAGTCTAGCTGTAATAAGTTCTTGTTTATTAATATTAGTTTTGTGATAGTTTTAAGTGCTTGTTCATTACTTACAAAAATAAAGAACGAACCGAATATAACATATTAAAATTTTGGCGCAGTCGATGAAGGATCATTCTGAACGACAAGAAACCGGAGAATTCTTAAGTAATTCGTTTCATGTTGGTGGGTTTTAACTCTTTATCAGAATTTCTTTATATTGTAAGTAGTAGTAATAGGTAACTCATTTTGTGAACAATGCCTAAACTTGATCAACCTGTTTTCAACCCATCCCAAATACCCCTTGATTTCTTGTGTAGTCTAGTTCCTAATTTCTTTTCCGGAGAAAGGAACCAACTTAATGCATTTATCTCTGATTGTGATAATGCTATCGAATTGTCCTCTGAAGAGAATAAGTATCCACTCTTCAGATTCATCTACTCCAGAATCACTGGTAATGCCAAGATTCGAATTTCTTTGTACGATTTTGATAATTGGGATGACGTAAAAACGAAATTAATAGAATTATACCAAGACAAGAAACCCCATAGTCAACTGATAAAAGAATTGATTAATCGCAGACAAAAATCAACATGTATCCACTGTGAAGATAACACAATAAAATTGAAGGAAAAACTTAAAATTTTAGAAGTTACAGAATCCAAACTTGAAGTTGAAGAGAAAACAGATCCTTTACCAGAATCCAAACTTGAAGTTGAAGAGAAAACAGATCCTTTACCAGAATCCAAACTTGAAGTTGAAGAGAAAACAGATCCTTTACCAGAATCCAAACTTGAAGTTGAAGAGAAAACAGATCCTTTACCAGAATCCAAACTTGAAGTTGAAGAGAAAACAGATCCTTTACCAGAATCCAAACTTGAAGTTGAAGAGAAAACAGATTCTTTACCAGGATCAATTCCTGCTCAAGAGGAAAAAGCACCCTCTACAAATTTATCTAAGAAAAAGGCTAAAGAAGCACCCTCTACAAATTTATCTAAGAAAAAGGCTAAAGAAGCACCCTCTACAAATTTATCTAAGAGAAAGGCTAAAGAAGCACCCTCTACAAATTTATCTAAGAGAAAGGCTAAAGAAGCACCCTCTACAAATTTATCTAAGAAAAAGGCTAAAGAAGCACCCTCTACAAATTTATCTAAGAGAAAGGCTAAAGAAGCACCCTCTACAAATTTATCTAAGAAAAAGGCTAAAGAAGCACCCTCTACAAATTTATCTAAGAGAAAGGCTAAAGAAGCACCCTTTACAAATTTATCTAAGAAAAAGGCTAAAGAAGCACCATTACTTCCTAAAAATAAAAATAAGAAAAAAGGTCTAAAAGTAAAAGAAGAAAGATCATCCATACAGAATTCAAAACCTAAAAATCATCCTAAAGCTGAAATTCAAAAGGAAACAAAAATTTCAAATAAAAATATAGGAGCTACTAAAAAAATTCACAAGCATAATTTTGGGAAGCATACTAAAAAGCGGAAATGGAATTCCAGTACCAAGAAATCTAGGAAGAAAGCATCCATTCTTATGTCAACCGATTTTCACGAAGAGAGTATTCCTGAGGTAAAGCTATTTTTACTAAGTAAAGTTCACCTATCGTCTAATGAAAAGAGAAGATTCAAACCAGTCAAAATTAGCAAGAGGAAATCTAATAAAAACTTAGTCCTGATTTAAGATCCATACGAGGTCAAGAAAAATCTGGCAAAATGTTTTTTAAAATCCGTACAGAGTTACAACACAAACCGTGTTCTGAGTAGTTGATCTAAAGAGAGAAATCCAAAATAATAATAATTTAATCCTTTTATTTTTCCCATACAGCTAATCATCATTTATTTTATTATTAATCCATTTATTCTTTTTCTATCTATTGTTTCCTATATAAAATTTTTATATTTTTCAGAACTTATGTCAATTTTGTTTCGAATTTCATGTCTCTTGATTTTATTCTTTTATCTTTACTCTTTATGAAACATTGTTCACTAACGAGTATTGCCTAGGAAAGGTTCTACTACTTGCAGCTATAAAGCTTAAAATTATGTTCCTGATAAGAAGCCAATGTGAAGAGATACAACAGTCTACCATACAGAAGACATAGCACCTACTACTACTCAAGGAGTCTCAACCTGGACGGAACCATTCAGAACCCGACATAGGAACTGTCAATCCGAACAAGAGGAGAAAACAAATTCTTTTTTCAAAATAATTGTTTTCCGTCTTAAGGGGGGAGGTGTTATGATCCCGTACTCAATATTCACATTTTCAACTTTTTATAAACAAAAGACTGGCGACGAACTCAAATTGTTCTTCTTTAGAAGCGAAGCTTCTAAAGACTCCTTCTTTTATTTTATTTGCAAGTGTTTGCTCGAACATTCGAAACAGTTGACTGACGAAAGACCAAAGTAATATAGGCAAGCTACACAGCTTGGCGTTGGTTCATTTGATTTTTAGTCTAGCTGTAATAAGTTCTTGTTTATTAATATTAGTTTTGTGATAGTTTTAAGTGCTTGTTCATTACTTACAAAAATAAAGAACGAACCGAATATAACAATATATATATATATTTCTTCCCCCCCCTCCTTCCCCTTCCCCCGCCCCCCCATCGCACGTCAATCAATCAAAAATCAAAAATGCAAGAAAAAGTATTGATTGAATAAAAAGCTACGCACATATAAACAAAAAAAAAGCAGAAAACAAAACAAAAAAAAAACCCATTCATAACGATTTCAGTCAGTGTAACAAACATTGAAAAAAAAAAAAAAAAAAAAAAAAGAACATGCTCAAAGTCAAAATTGCCCACCGTGTGTGATTTTTGACTTTTGCCCATAATTGTCGAGCCCTGACAACAATGCAAAATCAAACATCAAAAGGATTAGTCGATAGAAAAAAAAAAAAAAAATGAATCAATGAAAATTATATAAACAAATACAATAAATAAGAAAGAGAGAAAGAGAGATGGGGAGAGAGATGGGAGAGAGAAAGAGAGAGAAAGAGAGAGATAGGAGAGAGAGAGGGACATTATTGAGACTAATAAGTAAAAAGGAAAATCGTGTTTTTTTTCCCCAATTAGCAACTCAAAGATGTCCCGGAAATTTTTATTGTTTTTTTTTAAGGAATAATGATTTTTAACTTTTGTAATTTTAATATCTGGAGAGAGAGAAAGAGACAGAAAAAGGACAAAATAAAACGAAAGGAAGAAAAAGAAAAAACCAGAAAGAAAGAAAGAAAGAGAGGACAATATTATTCGAGAGAAAGTTTTAAAAAAAACAAAAACCTTTTAGCTTTTAATTCGATGGTTTTGACAATAATAATAATAATAATAATAATAATATTTATCATTGATTTAAACGTCGTGAAATGTGGTTCGTGGTTTAGTGTAGAGAGAGAGAGAGAGAGAGAGAGATGGGAAGAAGAAGAAGAAGAAAAGGAAAAAAATAGATTCGAAATCATTCTTTTTTTTTTTTTGTCATGAGAAAAACTGATCATTTTTTTTTGTTATCACAAACTGTAAGAATATCAAGTGGGAAAAGAAAAAAATTTAATTTCGTTCCGGAGGGTTGAGGGGGAGGGGCAGAGACAGACAGAGAGAGAAAGAGAGAGAGAGAAAACAATAAAATTCGTTCCATTTTTTTTTTTTTGAATCCTTCATCACGACGAATAAAATTAGTTAAAATTTTTTTTTTTAAAGGAGAAGAATAAAAAGAAAGAAAAAAGAAAAACGAGGGAAAGGGAGGGAGAGGGAGGGAGAGGG